AAACAATTTTACATGGACAAAGCACATCCATTAAGTACTCCAATGGTTGTTCGGTCACTTGAAGTGAGTAAAGATCTGTTCTGACCTCAAGAAGAGAATGAGGAACCTCTTGGTCCTGAAGTACCTTATCTTAGTGTAATTGGTGCACTTATGTATCTTGCTAATGCTACGAGACCTAACATTTCATTTTCTGTTAATTTGTTAGCAAGATATAGTTCTTCCCCTACACGAAGACATTGGAATGGAATTAAACATATATTGCGATATCTAAAGGGGACTAGTGATATGAGTTTATACTAACAAAGATAGTGCAGATCTTGTTGGTTATGCAGATGCAGGTTATTTATCTGACCCACATAAAACTCGATCTCAAACAGGCTATTTATTTACATACGGAGGTACTGCTATATCATGGCGATCTACAAAGCAGTCTATTCTCGCTACTTCTTCAAATCATGCTGAGATAATTGCTATTCACGAAGCAAGTAGAGAATGTGTATGGTTGAGATCGGTGATACATTTTACCAAAGAAAGATGTGGTTTGAAGTATGATGTCAAGGTACCTACAGTGCTCTTTGAAGACAATGTTGCTTCTATAGCTCAACTAAGTGGAGGCTTCATAAAAGGAGATAGAACGAAACACATTTCACCAAAATTATTTTTCACACAGGATCTACAGAAGAACGGTGATATTGATATACAACAGATTCGTTCAAGTGATAATCCAACAGATTTATTCACCAAATCTTTACTAGCCTCAACTCTTGAGAAGATGGTGCAAAAGATTGGAATGCGAAGACTTAAGCATCTGAATCGTGGTCTTTATCAGGGGGAGTAAAATACGTGCTGCACTCTTTTTTTCTTAGTCTAGGTTTTGTCCCATTGGGTTTTCCTAGAAAGGTTTTTAATGAGGCAGCAAGCAATGCGTATTATGAATGTCTATATATATTTTTGTTCCTTCCACTTTTCTTTTTACATGGACATCCAAGAGGGAGTGTTGTAAAACTAAATGAATGCCATGTGGGCCACCCTTTAATAGTCATCACTTGACATACCAAATGGATGCCATGTGGGGCACCCATTTAAGAGGTGTCATCACTTGGCCAAGTGGATAACTTCTCAATGGCCAAGTGTTGAATTTGTATGTATGATGTCAAGGTACCTACAGTGCTCTTTGAAGACAATGTTGCTTCTATAGCTCAACTAAGTGGAGGCTTCATAAAAGGAGATAGAACGAAACACATTTCACCAAAATTATTTTTCACACAGGATCTACAGAAGAACGGTGATATTGATATACAACAGATTCGTTCAAGTGATAATCCAACAGATTTATTCACCAAATCTTTACTAGCCTCAACTCTTGAGAAGATGGTGCAAAAGATTGGAATGCGAAGACTTAAGCATCTGAATTGTGGTCTTTATCAGGGGGAGTAAAATACGTGCTGCACTCTTTTTTTCTTAGTCTAGGTTTTGTCCCATTGGGTTTTCCTAGAAAGGTTTTTAATGAGGCAGCAAGCAATGCGTATTATGAATGTCTATATATATTTTTGTTCCTTCCACTTTTCTTTTTACATGGACATCCAAGAGGGAGTGTTGTAAAACTAAATGAATGCCATGTGGGCCACCCTTTAATAGTCATCACTTGACATACCAAATGGATGCCATGTGGGGCACCCATTTAAGAGGTGTCATCACTTGGCCAAGTGGATAACTTCTCAATGGCCAAGTGTTGAATTTGTATGTTTCTCATTGGCTATAAATAGCCATTACTTTCATTCACAAAGGCAGATATAAGAAAAGTTTGGAATATATTATGTTCTCCTTTTGTTTGTTCTTCTTATTAATTTAGTTTATTAATATTAGTTTGTTAGCTAGTTATTTTATAACAATTATTATATCTTAGAGAAGACAATTGAATGAGTATCGAAGATTTGAAAGCAATAGTAATGAAGATTTTTGTGGGCCGGGTATGGGCCCTCGATATGATGTGCGACATAACAAAAAGCCGGGAGAAGTGCCAAATGTTAAACAAATTATGACTCTTTCTGCAATATTTCACTTGTTTGGAAAAGTCATCTTTTTTCACCCTTTGTTTTTTAGTGAAGATAAATTCTTGAACTACTTTAGTTTATAATTCGCATTCTTCATATCATGTATAAAACAATAATACATAAATTCACTTTATTTCATTTTATATATTAAAAATAGATGTTTTATTTCACTCGACCTGACATATTCTTGAAGAAAATTTTGATTAGAAATTTATTTTACTAAATTAACTTTATTAATAATACTTTAATACTCTAAATTTGCTTACTGAAAACGGGAAGAATAGTTTGAACATATAATAGTCAACAAGTTCTCTCTCAAAACTAGCAATCCATAAGTAACTGGTCAGTTTCACTTTTTTATTAAAAGAAGTGGAGCTTTTCCTCTTGATGGGATTCTACTTCTCTTTCGCGGTACATGACCTCAGTGCGGAACTAAATAGTGTCAAACGGATTTATTGTTGAAAAATTATATTGTATAAGTAAAATAATTTATTTTTTATCTGTTATATATAAACTGTTAAATCCCTAGACTGGAGAAATATTCAAGTATAGTGATAAAGCCAAAAAGGAGGTTCAAAATCGTTTTAATCATATGTTCAAATTTAAGCTATGATAGCCCGAGAAAAGATAAGGCCCATTAGGAAAAGCCATTCTGCACAATTGAGCCATGACTTGAAAGTTACACATTTGCCATGCGATAAATAATTCTTAATAATGTATAAACTATGTATATTTACATTTATATATACAATAAATAAATGATTAGGAAGCTCAGAATACTTATAAATATATTGCTAAAATCCTAGATTATAAAAGTAATATTTTGTATACTTTACTCTATAAGAAAACAATTAGTTTCTTTTATTACAAAAAAAAATGCAATATTTCGAAATGAGAAGAAAATATCATAAGATCATATTAAAAAATCAAATGTTGGATATCATGCCTATACAAGCTTTATGGGTGATATATTTAAAAAGATCACGGCAAAGGTGTACTATATCAAGGCTGGCTATACAAATTCCTAGAAATAGTTAAAGATATTGTTTAAAAAGATAATTCCTACGTTCATTTTTTAATTGTCATGTAGTGTTTTTTGAAAGTCAATTTGACTGATTTTCAAAGTTAAATTAGATTACACTAATTTGATATTTTAAGCAAAAAATTAGATATTCAAAACTATACGAAAGTACTATAAATTGCAATTTTTTGCATATCAATATGATTAAAAAAATACATCATAAATGTTAGTCAAAGTTTTTATAGTTTGACTCTAAAAAAAAACTATGACAATTAAATGTAGATGGAGGAAGTAGTTACACAATATTTATATATAATTACACATATTTTAATATTTTTTTTAAAAGTAAAAATAAAAATAATATAGAGGTTTATTCGGGAAATATACCTACCAATTGTCACTCAAATCGAATATGAATTTAGTGACATGTAAATCGAGAATTTGGATCTCTTTAAAGTTGCTCTTTTGCAACTAGTAACATAACTACGATTTAATTTGGAGTAAGATAAATACACAAAGCAATAGAAACTTTGAACTCTGAAATTTATGAACCTTTAATATTACAGATAGATTCCTTTTAGGTAACCTTAAAATTTTATATGAAAATGTTAGATTACAATTAAAATTGTTATTAGTCATTGCGAACGTTAGTTATTAATAAACTTGAGCAAGACATAAACAAATAATAGACCGAATATTATATTAGTCGAAAAAGTTATTAATAAAATACTATATTGGTATTATTTTAAAAAAATATATGAACAATTTAAAATGAGGAAAACTATATAACTACACATACAACACTATTATATATACTAATTTTACCATAATTTTCAAACCATTACATATATTACCATTTTTAATATTTTATACCGTATATTTTAAAAGATACAATCAAATAAACACATTCCTTAAATTAGGATTGATTAATTATCTTTACATTTAAACATCACAATCAATGATCCAATAACAAATCAATCAGAATATTTCTCTCTCATCAACCTTAAATGTTAGAAAAAAATTCACACTCGACACTAGTAATGGTTAATCATCCTATGAGAGCATTGGAAAATGAGGAACAAGATGAATCAAAATGCATCTCTCATTTGAACAGCAAACCATTAATTTAAATGGAATTCAAAACACTTGTTTGCTAGCGAAGTAACGACCATTTATAGAATGATATGCAAGCACTGCAGAAATGAGATGAACTGTTTCTACATACCTATATGTGGGAACATATTAGTTGGTTCGACATGCCCTTGAAGAACATGGTTATTTTATAGCATTCTATGACGATGATAATAATAATAAGATTTGAAATGTGCCTGGGGTTGTATGACTGCACAACAGCCAAAGCTACCCATTGAGGAGCATGAGGTGAATCACTGCCCTTAGCTAGATCCGGTACATTACAATGATCGCATGGCAATATAACAAGAGAATTAATTAAAGGTATAGCATAAGACCAATAAAAGAAATTTGACAAGACTAAGTGGAGCGGGGGAGAAGAGTACAGGCAAAAAGAAGGAAAGTGCAGAACGAGTGTATGTTAAGATATTTTTTTCTCATTTTGAAAATTTGGTAGTAGCTCATACTAGGTGTAGTGCAGGTCATAGAAGCCACCAATCTGGCAACCTATGTGGAACCTATCATTTCTTTTCATTCTATGTCAATAAGGATATCTACAAAGGCTCCTAATTGATAAGTCGAGATAAACAAACATTCCATGCTTTCAAATTGATTAGCATGATTGACTCATCCACATATGCAGCAGGAGGTAATCAACTAGTTGAGCTGCAAACTTATGTGTGCAAAATATTACTAAACTCCAAGCTTGAGTGGTTTTAAGAAATTATCAAATGCAAGTGTCCTCTGTTTATATCAAAATTAATAATTTTAGTACTCAAACATATCCAACCCAATAATGGAAAACTTAACATGCGTGTGCAATTAAAACAGTAGTAAAAATACTTTCTATAAAAGTTGTGACAAACATCACAAGCTTGACCCGAAAAGATAAGTGTTTCATATACACCTGAATATGATGGTCGGCTCTGATGGAGACACTTTAGTAGGACGGGTGCAGTCCCCGTAAACAAAATGAACAGCTCCAGAAATGGTGAGCACGCTGCAAGGTCTGCTTGTCTACCTGAGGATTCCAATCTTGCTCGTAAAATATGACCTACACCACCACAACTTGTCAAAGAGATGAAAGAAATGGATGTCCAATCAAAACAAGACACACCATATGTTACTAACACCACTATGCAGTGGCCAAAAGGAATAGGAATGACTATTTTGTGCCATTGAAATCGAACTTAAGACAAGAGTTAAAGTAAAGTATCCCAATCACTTGCAAGAACTGCACCATTAAGCATTGCCAGGTCCAGAAAAATTATTACTTCCTAACACATGCTCCACCTATCATCCAGTAGGTATCAACTGGCATCACTGTGATGCATGTTGTCAACAAATATGAGCTATCAACATTTTTTTCCTTGATGGCATAACTCATGAGTTAAACGTCTCAATGATAACGACTAGGAAAAGAGAAGCGCATCAATATCCATGAATGAAGATAATATTCTTTAACAAATTTGAGATCAAGCATTGAACCAGTTCAAGTTTGAACTTGAACTGTTAGATATTCTACCTGTGCATTACAATTTCGCTTCCGCGTATGATCCAAGTGTCTCTATCACCTCTTTCCATATATCAAGAGGAGAAAACATTGATGAATGAACACTCTTTACTTGTACGATATATATTCGAAAGAAGTAAAGGGCTAACCCGAGTATATAATCTTAAACCAATCCGATAATAAAAGTTCGGTCAGTAGTTGTCACTCACTGCATATTAGCCACAAGATTCAACCCAACTCCACCAGCTCTTGTTGAAATCAAGAAAACAAATGCTGCATTTTGTTCAGCTTCAAACTTTGATCTATTATGACTAAAGCTCCTGATTGCAGCGAAGCGCTCTTCCGCACGAATTGAACCATCAATACGCTCATAAGAATACTTCCTCATATCAGATTAGAAATATTTACCTATAGTATATCAAGTGTTTGAGTCATCTGAGAGAAAAGAAGAACCCTATGTCCACAAGCATGAAGTTTTTGAAGAAGATGATCTAATATTAGCAGTTTGCCGCTAGCCTAACCAGCACTTAATTAATGGTTAGAAAAGCATACCCATGAAAACAACATACTTTCTTGGGGTGAAACATTAGTAATAAATACAAAAGAATGCAGGATAATCTTTTAAAGCTAAATAACTAACAGCTGCATACTCTTAACTTAGTGACAGCCGGGTAGATTGCAATTACTTAAGGTGCATATCCAGTGTGAAATCTACAGCCACAAAATTACAAACAGTGACAATCAGCAGAAAGTAGATACAATACCTGAACTAGGTGTTCTCCCTCTTCATATGGTTCCGATTCTATACCACCAAAAAGGTAAGGATGACTACATACTTTTCGAAGTTGAATTATCTGGAAGTGAGTCTGCAGGTTAGTATTAGGGAAGATACAAGTTGAGCTCTAATAAATAGATCTCCAAGTCCAAAGCATTTTTCTTACCCTTTAAAGGCTAAAACAGTTACTTAAGCATGATATTTATGACTAAATGAAGTGGAGATGCTAATATACTTAATGAACTCTCATCGAATGCAGATTCAACTTAGAAAAGGATGAAAGTCTATTGAAAAAAAATGTCAATAAACTTCTCTTAATATGCAAAAATATTTGCCAGCAAGCTTCTGCTCTTACTTCCACCAGATAACATGAACTCCAAATTTTCTTCTTTACTTGAAATAGTAAAATTCTGGAGAATCAGGATATATAACTTCATTCTATGAGAGTACAGAGAGATTCTTGAAAGAGATATAACGTTGACATAGATAAGGCTTACCCGAAAGAGGAGCGTGGGCTTGTCAATTGTTGAAATTGTTATTTCATACAAAGGCCTGCGAAACACAAGTATAAAAGATGGAATTAATAAATTCTCTCCCTGATTATAACAACATCATAAACTTGCCAAATCTTGACACACAACGATTAAGGAACAGAACAAAGTGAAGGCAAAATCAGGAGAAATGTATCAGAATATTACCGAAATGACAGTGAATTTCCACACACAACACCATTTCCATCTACATGAGGGACTAGTTACTAGTTAGATTCTTTCTAGGATTTTGGAGGAATCAACCCTTAACTTGAATTTGGATTGCACTATGGTCAGTGGTGTATCTAGGATTTTAAGGTTGTGAACTTCCTTTAATATAAATTTCTACCAATCACATAGTAGAAGTTCACAACTAATTCAAATGTAATAGCGAAAATAGATCATGGAAAAAATACGACTTAAATTGTCTTTACCGAAAAAAATATCAAAAATTCATGAATATACAGAGAACTCGTACCGAGGAAGCAAGGCCATATCTATCGAGAAGGTTTGCGAATCCAAAATCACATGTGTAAAAAAAGTAAACATATTTGATTCACATATAATATAGAAGCAAGGAGGGTGCTATCATGCACTTGGTTGTCATTCTTACCTGGTCGGATGTCATTGTGCTTTGTGACAAAAATGTTAGATAACTGAAATAAATCGAAATACTTCATGTTAAAACAGGTCATACAAGGAAAGCTCATTAATAAATCAGGGCCTATTTATACCTTCACGTCTCTGTGTAGAACACGGTTGGAGTGCAGATAATCTACCGCCAGTAATAGCTGAGTCAGCCATTTGCAGAGTTTCTGCAGTGGAAAAAGTTGATGAACACATAAACTTTAAGTGAACCACTCTAGTATGAGAACCCATTATGATGGAAGTTGTATCCAAACTACCTCTTCTGGGAAGAGATCTCCTCTAGACTTCCTTATGATCTTTGCCCTGATCACCCAAAAAAACAAAAAAAGTCATTATCTTCATATTACACCATAAAACATTCCCATGATCTTATCGCTTTCAACCTAGTAATTTCGGGAAAGGTTTCTAAAGATTCTTCATATAAAAGCATCATAAGTTAGTTCAGTCTACAAATATGTTTTGACCATCTTTTGGGAGAAACGTAAAATTCATATGTGAATAAGTATAAAAATGCTAACAAGGCTAGGATAACCACTCATATATCTCCACCTTCACAATATGTCAATAAGTATTAAAATGCTAGCAAGGCTAGCATATCCAGTTCCCTTGAAAGAAAAACAAAGTCAATCTGGTTTTGAGGCAACTCGATATAGAATTTTTCTCAAGTACATGATAATCATTTTAGTTTCAAATACTATTCTAGAAACTGAATAACATAATACCTTCTCGACCCCAGCATCCTTGTACTCCATGATAAGTGTTTGAGTCATCTGAGAGAAAAGAAGAACCCTATGTCCACAAGCATGAAGTTTTTGAAGAAGATGATCCAATATTAGCAGTTTGCCGCTAGCCTAACCAGCACTTAATTAATGGTTAGAAAAGCATACCCATGAAAACAACATACTTTCTTGGGGTGAAACATTAGTAATAAATACAAAAGAATGCAGGATAATCTTTTAAAGTTAAATAACTAACAGCTGCATACTCTTAACTTAGTGACAGCCGGGTAGATTGCAATTACTTAAGGTGCATATCCAGTGTAAAATCTACAGCCACAAAATTACAAACAGTGACAATCAGCAGAAAGTAGATACAGTACCTGAACTAGGTGTTCTCCCTCTTCATATGGTTTCGATTCTATACCACCAAAAAGGTAAGGATGACTACATACTTTTCGAAGTTGAATTATCTGGAAGTGAGTCTGCAGGTTAGTATTAGGGAAGATACAAGTTGAGCTCTAACAAATAGATCTCCAAGTCCACAGCATTTTTCTTACCCTTTAAAGGCTAAAACAGCTACTTAAGCATGATATTTATGACAAAATGAAGTGGCGATGCTAATATACTTAATGAACTCTAATCGAATGTAGATTCAACTTAGAAAAGGATGAAAGTCTATTGAAAAAGAATGTCAATAAACTTCTCTTAATATGCAAAAATATTTGCCAGCAAGCTTCTGCTCTTACTTCCACCAGATAACATGAACTCCAAATTTTCTTCTTTACTTGAAATAGTAAAATTCTGGAGAATCAGGATATATAACTTCATTCTGTGAGAGTACAGAGAGATTCTTGAAAGAGATAATAACGTTGACATAGATAAGGCTTACCCGAAAGAGGAGCGTGGGCTTGTCAAGTGTTGAAATCGTTATTTCATACAAAGGCCTGCGAAACACAAGTATAAAAGATGGAATTAATAAATTCTCTCCCTGATTATAACAGCATCATAAACTTGCCAAATCTTGACACACAACGATTAAGGAAAAGAACAAAGTGAAGGCAAAATCAGGAGAAATGTATCAGAATATTACCGAAATGACAGTGAATTTCCACACACAACACCATTTCCATCTACATGAGGGACTAGTTACTAGTTAGATTCTTTCTAGGATTTTGGAGGAATCAACCCTTAACTTGAATTTGGATTGCACTATGGTCAGTGGTGTATCTAGGATTTTAAGGTTGTGAACTTCCTTTAATATAAATTTCTACCAATCACATAGTAGAAGTTCACAACTAATTCAAATGTAATAGCGAAAATAGATCATGGAAAAAATACGACTTAAATTGTCTTTACCGAAAAAAATATCAAAAATTCATGAATATACAGAGAACTCGTACCGAGGAAGCAAGGCCATATCTATCGAGAAGGTTTGCGAATCCAAAATCACATGTGTAAAAAAAGTAAACATATTTGATTCACATATAATATAGAAGCAAGGAGGGTGCTATCATGCACTTGGTTGTCATTCTTACCTGGTCGGATGTCATTGTGCTTTGTGACAAAAATGTTAGATAACTGAAATAAATCGAAGTACTTCATGTTAAAACAGGTCATACAAGGAAAGCTCATTAATAAATCAGGGCCTATTTATACCTTCACGTCTCTGTGTAGAACACGGTTGGAGTGCAGATAATCTACCGCCAGTAATAGCTAAGTCAGCCATTTGCAGAGTTTCTGCGGTGGAAAAAGTTGATGAACACATAAACTATAAGTGAACCACTCTAGTATGAGAACCCATTATGATGGAAGTTGTATCTAAACTACCTCTTCTGGGAAGAGATCTCCTCTAGACTTCCTTATGATCTTTGCCCTGATCAACCCAAAAACAAAAAAAGTCATTATCTTCATATTACACCATAAAACATTCCCATGATCTTATCGCTTTCAACCTAGTAATTTTGGAAAAGGTTTCTAAAGATTCTTCATATAAAAGCATCACACGTTAGTTCAGTCTACAAATATGTTTTGACAATCTTTTGGGAGAAACGTAAAATTCATATGTGAATAAGTATAAAAATGCTAGCAAGGCTAGGATAACCACTCATATATCTCCACCTTCACAATATGTCAATAAGTATTAAAATGCTAGCAAGGCTAGCATATCCAGTTCCCCTGAAAGAAAAACAAAGTCAATCTGGTTTTGAGGCAACTCGATATAGAATTTTTCTCAAGTACATGATAATCATTTTAGTTCCAAATCCTGTTCTAGAAACTGAATAACATAATACCTTCTCGACCCCAGCATCCTTGTACTCCATGATATATGGATTGATTAACTTGGCTATCAGATCCATCTGCCATAGAATAATACACACAAATATCATCAGATATCAATTAGATTAACATTATGTAGACCTATCTACTCAACATGATATCATTCCAAGACAAAGTGAAATTTACTCTATAACCTGCAGACACAAGGTTCTAAAACAAGATAATGGCTTGCACGACGATATTTACATCCCTACTCTATTCAAATAGGGCGAAATGTCGCGATGACTCAAAAAATAATCAATTAATTTAATTTTAAAAGAATTTAAAGAAAAATAAGAATTTTAAAAGAGTCGTCACCTAATTTTAGGAAAAAACTAGGAAACCATTAAGTGATCTACGAAACCATTAGATTCTAGGTAAGGGGTTCAAATTATTTCGAAGGAAAGGTGTTAGGCATCCTTCGAAATCCACAACTGTGGGTCCCGACTGAATTCATTATTTCAAATTGAGGAGTAGGATAAAATATTGTACAAGTATAATAAGCATGTAATATACACAAGTAATATGATAAAACAATAATATAAGAATCGACCTAAATTTGCCTATCGTCAATAATATACAATAATGAATAAGAGTATAATTCGAACCTAGTTCGAATAGCTTCAACGGGAAGCATCTCCGAGGTACCTGTAAACACACTTAGTAAAAGTGTTAATAGTAAATAAAAATAAATAACAACTTAAAATAAAAATCCGTCTTACTATCATGGAAGGCCTTGGAAATCGACGGTAATTTCTTTATCGGCCATTTTAACTTACAAAAAATATAAACTTAAACTAAATTTCCGTCTTTAAAATGTGAAGGCCTCCAAAACCGACGGAGAGATTTTTCATTGGCCAATTTTAACAAATAAAATATTTAAACCTAAACTAAATTTTCGTCTTTTAAGATGGGAAGACCTCCAAAATCGACGGAGAGATTTTTTCATTGGCCAATTTTAACATAAAATTTATATAAACTTAAACTAAAATTTTCGTCTATTAAAATGTGGAGGCCTCCAAAATCGACGGAGAGATTTTTTATTGGCCAATTTTAATATAAAACTTATATAAACTTAAACTAAATTTCCGTCTTTAAAATGTGAAGGCCTCCAAAACCGACGGAGAGATTTTTCCATTGGCCAATTTAACTTGTAACATATATAAAATATCAAGTGAATTACGATTAAATTATTAGAATAACAACAATTGGAACTAAAGAAGAACAATACCCAAGTAAACAAATAATAAATAATCTAATCATAATGGAGTAAATCAATAAAAAATAAAAATATAAACAATGGTAAATAACTAGTATCATGCTATCATTATATAACCATAATTGGAACAAAGAATAATGATGGAATAATAAAATATAGAGTAGCCATGGAAAAGTTCAATTTCATCTCCCAAATTGCAAAACAACATCATATTAAACCGACAAATATCACAAAGGGAATCAACAGAGGGGTTAATAAAATGAAATAATAAATATAATATAGAAAATTCATCAAAAAGATGGCCAAAAAAGTCAAAGACCACACAAAATTAATACACAAAATGATAGATAGCTCTATAATAATAACAGTAACACAAATAATTAACGTGTAGAAACCAAACAACAACGAATAATAATAATAATAATAATAATAATAATAATAATAATAATAATAATAATAATAATAATAATAATAATAATAATAATAATAATAATAATAATAATAATAATAATAATAATAATAATAATAATAATAATAATAATAATAATAATAATAATAATAATAATAATAATAATAATAATAATAATAATAATAATAATAATAATAATAATAATAATAATAATAATAATAATAATAATAATAATAATAATAATAATAATAATAATAATAATAATAATAATAATAATAATAATAATAATAATAATAATAATAATAATAATAATAATAATAATAATAATAATAATAATAATAATAATAATAATAATAATAATAATAATAATAATAATAATAATAATAATAATAATAATAATAATAATAATAATAATAATAATAATAATAATAATAATAATAATAATAATAATAATAATAATAATAATAATAATAATAATAATAATAATAATAATAATAATAATAATAAATCAAGCAAATTAACAATAGCTAACAAATAATAATAATAATATAAAAACAAAGTAACAAACTAACAATAGCTAAAATCAAAACAGTAAGAAACATTTTCCCAGAATTATGAATGAATAAGAATATACCTATGAATATATATGATGTAAGAATGAAAAGGATTATAACCGGACTTTGCATTTTCCGGCCAGATCTGAAAATTTGAGACAGAGGAACACAGCCAAAGATCGGGTGGTTTCGAGTGTTATTGCCGGAGATCTCCATAACCTGTAAAATAAACAAAATAAAAGGGAAAAAGGGGGAGGGAGGCGCTGAAGAAGAAGAGCACAAATGAGTTTGGTTCGTGTGAGCTGCTGACCAGCTGGGTTGGCTCATTTCGAGCTCTAGTCGAAGCTCGCGGTGTTGTGGTGAATAGAGGCAGTGGAAGAGGTCAAAAGATAGGAAAATAAAGAGGGGTCGTTTGGTGGTTCATGGTAGCGTTGGACTGGCAGCGATGATGGTCCGTTTCAGTGGGTCTTCTGGTGGTTTGAGATGGAGGTTTGGTGATGTTTTCTGGAGTTGTTGCCGGACAACGGGTACTGGTCAGTGAGAAGGAGAATGAAGGGGTTTTGGGTTGGTGTTCCAGTGGATTTGGAGGGAGGATTTGGTGGGGTTTGAGGTGGCGCGAGCTCACCGGAGCTACTGGTTTGAAGAGGTAATAGGGAGGACGAGCACCTGGGTTTGTTTGGAGCTGCTGGTGGGTTATTGTTGGTGGGGGGTTTTGGGTTGTCGGAGCTTAGTCGGAATCCGGGGTGGTGGTGGCCGGAAAACCCCCTTTTGTGAATAAAAATCTGAAAGCTTATAATCCTATTCTAAAAATAAATTCACCACCACCTCTTTAACCTAATGTGTTAGTTCTATATGTAGAGAATTGAAAATTATCAATGGGCCCAAGTCATGGGCTCAAAGTTGTGGCCCAAAATATATAATTTTATCCACATCGAAATGAATTTTTGAACTATATTAAAATAAATGTTAAAAAATGTAATGAACGTAATTAATGACATGTAAAAAGTGTCATTTTTAACAGAAATAACGATTTAATTAAAATGAACAAATATTTGAATGTATTCAACCAGCTGTGACAAAAAATATGTAATTAAAATTAACTGATAAAAAATACTAAGTTTTGACAAACAAAGATAGTTATCGATAAACTTACTTAAAATTATAAAAGATATATTTTGAACAATTAAATAAATAAAACTTAAAAGTTACGAATTTTAAAAATGTTAGACCAAAATTGAGTGTCAACAGACGATTCTGCTTCGCTTTCAAAAACTAATGACTTTTTAGAGTGAAATTGATATGATTCAACTAACAAGACCTTATAGCTATTCAGTTTAATTTCAAAGTTCTAAAATTAGGTAGACAAACTGTTAACACGATCTAAAGCAGGCAAGTTGAATAAGATTTTAAGGCTAAAGTTGAAATCAGATATAAAGCAGGCAAGTTGAATCAGATATAAAGCCGGGAAGTTGGAAAAACATCATTTAACCTTCACATGTAGAACAGAAAGGGTAAAGAATCAACTGATAAAGCTAAAATGCGAGCTAGACACCCAAAAATCGTATAAAAAACACAAGAATATCAAAACCCTAAAACTAAAATTTAGACTTTCAAAGATAGAATTTCTTACCTGATAAACCCTATACCAACAAAATCGTGTTCTTCAGTGAGAATTATGACGGAAATCATGTTCCTCATCGTGTTCTTCAGAGAGAAATCTGAGAGAAAAGCGTGACAAAGAGACTTAGCTTCAGTTCATCTGTGACAGAGAGACTTAGCTTCAGCTCTTCGATCAGTTCATCAGAGACAAGTGTGTCCTTCAATCAGTTCATCAGAGAAAGAGTAAAGCGTGTTTTTCTGATTTGGGGAAAACAAAAGTTCTATTAATGTTTTATGAATTACTTTTTTTGGCCAATAAAAATGGGAGGGAGAGTTAAAAATGTTGGAGGGAATATAATATTTTAGTGATAATTTTAAGGACAACACTTGTAAATGTGTTGTTTTTACAATTATAAAAATAGGACACTTTAGAAGTGTGGCCATATAATGTAAATAGTTGTTGCCAATTATATCATAATTATAACAACGCTTATAAAGTGTAGCTTATACCATTAAAGAGTACACTGTGCAAGTGTTGCCAATATTATCGAAGCTAAAAGTTAAAAACTTGGGCTACGCTTTAAAAGTGTCCCCAAAAAATATTTTAGGCAACACTGTACAAGCGTTGTCCAGAATTAGTGTGGCCGTAGGCCTAAAATGTTGTAGTGTGTGTAACTAACTGTCCTACGTGTACTAACTAACTGATTCACGTGGTTCACGTGGGATTAGCCAATTACACTGTATTACATCTCAACACTCCCCGTCAAGATGGAGGGTGTGAAAAAACATTAAGCACTTCCATCTTGTTGAGAAGATGTAAATGTTGAACATGTCCTAGCCCTTTAGTCAATAAGTCGGCAAGCTGATCTTGAGTAGGAACATATACTATATGAATCATGCCAGCTTTGATTTTGTCTCTGATGAAATGACAATCAATCTCTATATGTTTAGTACGTTCATGAAATAATTGGTTAGCTGCAATTTGTATAGCAGACTTGCTATCACTCAAAATAGAAACAGGGAACTTGAGAGGCATTTCTAATTCTTTGAACAAACCAAGTAAACAGGTAACTTCAGCTACAGCTGAAGCCATACTTTTGTATTCTGCCTCAGCAGAACTCCTTGACATAGTGTGTTGTTTCTTTGATTTCCAGGAAATCAACGAGTCACCAAATTTGACAATGTAGCCTGTAACCGACCTTCTTGTATTAGGGCAGGCTGCCTAATCTGAATCACACCAGCAGATTAGTGTATCTGCAGCCTTAGGTTGAAGCCATACACCTTGCCCTATAATGCCTTTGAGATACCTGACCACTCTAGTTGCAACTTCATAATGAGACTGTTTAGGAGTCTGCATAAATTGACTTAAAGTCTGAACAACATAGCAAATATCAGGTCTAGTTATAGTAGCATACATAAGCTTTCCTACCAGTTGTCACGACCCAAGCCTAAGGCCTAGACGTGACCGGCGAATGGGGAACCCGAAGGAACCCCAAACAAGACTCATAGCGTATCATTACACATCCTTGGTCGCGGAATCAATTAAAATGACCATAAGCGATAAGCATAATCAAGGAGGAAATCGGGACTAAGGGAGCAAGAGAAACAAAAAAGGAATGATACATAAATACCATAGATGAGTCAAGCTCAAGCATAATACACAACTTGTCCAACACCGCCATTTTAGTAAAACTTCATGAATATTGACATATTAGACATATTATAGAACATAACCAACATATAAGACCATAGCCAATCATACATATACTTAACATAAATCCATATACAACCCATGCTTAACTTTAGAAGGACACATGTCATTTTATTACCATAGGACCTCTACCTAATATAACCTTAAGACACACTTGAGTGAGACAAGAAGTGACCGCCCACACAATCCTCTTCAAGCACACTTAAGTGTTCCCCAAGATTACCTTAGATAAGGACTTTATAGGCAACGTGCATAATCATACCCGATAGATAGCATATTAATGAGATGATATGTATAATGATGCTTACATGAAAATCATATTTAGTGGGACGTAGTACATGTGTGGCGAGTGACCATCAATATAGTATTTCCAAGGCCTACCACCCCCTTGGAGAGGCGAAAGAGGTACAAACCCCTCAATGTGGTTACCCGGGCCTACCACCCCCCGAGCTAGGGACCAAGGTACAAACCTCTCGATATGGTTATACGGGCCTACTACCCCCCGTACTAGGCTTGGTCGACTCACAACACTATATTGAGAAAATCATATACATGTGTCCATTTCATCATCATTTCAATAATTATATAATCATCCGACTCATAGGATGTACATTGGACCTTCCATTTCCTAAGAATTCTATATGTGGGCATTTTATCAAACACATAGTGGGCTACGGTTCATGTAAATAAAATCATCCAAGAGTACTAAGTCCAACCAATTCCAAAATCCATATAAATCAGCCCACCAACAACATACATATATATAAATCAACCTTACATAATTTGATCATGGAAGCATGAAAACCATAAAGATCACATAATAATTCTATTTCATGATAATATGCAAAATAGACCATAATAGGGTGTGTAGTAGTAATTCCATACTTCAAGAGTTCATAAATAACCATAAGGACCCATAAACTTGAAGTAAAAATAGAGGATAAATGGTTGGACTTGTGGAAAGGAAGGTTTCCACAATCAAACCCACATACCTCAACTTTGGAGAATCCTTGATGAAGATTGGAATGGAGAATTGAAGCTTGAGATTGAGTTTTGAATCCAGAATTAGAGCTTGAGATGTTTGAATTTGGTTGAAGATCTTGGTGGAATTTTGGAGAAGGCTTAGAAAGTGTTTTTGGAAGTTAAAAAAATGACTAAGTATGGGACATTTATAAAAAAACGTCCCCAACCCGCTAAAAAAAAAAAAGCTCTCTGGAAATTGCAACTCTGCACAGACAGGTTTTACGAAAATGGTCATAACTCCCTCATCCTAACTCGGAATGAGGTGAAACCAAGTGCGTTGGAAATCTAACTCAAAGAGCTTTAATTTAATAGGTTGTGGACATTCCAGTTCCTTGTGTGCTAAGAGTTATTCCCCTTCAAAGTTGACCCTCCAAATCGCATTTTTTGCGATTTTCAAATTTTAATACGGTTGCTCTAAAATTCGGGTTAGACCCATTTCCCACTCAATTTGACCCCCTGAATAAGACTATGAAGTCGAATTTCCGAAATCATGCACGGATTTTGAGATATATGGAAATTAGAATTATAGGTGTTTTCGAAACACATTTTCGGGCACTTGGGAACATTCGTCCTCGAATGTCAAAGAAACGTACATGAGAAACACCAACATAGCAAATTCAGCCCACATAGGGATGCAACAATGCACTTACACCTCATTTCAAAAACTTCAACATAGTTGTAAAACCACAATGAACTTGTTAACTTAAACATGAATGTATGCAATGACATGGGGGTTGAACTTAAGACCTGAGATTTTATAAAGGGCTTAGATCAATACCTTAAGCTTGAGTGGAGTGGAAAAGATAAGGATATCGCCTTTGCATGTCCGCTTCGGCCTCCCAAGTAGCACTTTCAACTTGTTGATTTCTCCAAAGGACTTTAACGGAAGCCACATCTTTGTTTCTCAACCTCTTCACTTGTCTATCTAAAATCTGGACCGGAACCTCTTCATAGGTCAAATTATCTTCAACAACACCCACAACATCAAGAGACACAATGGCATTTGGATCACCCACACACTTCCTCAACATAGACACATGAAATACCGGATGAACCAAATCCATTTCGCTAGGCAATTCCAACTCATAAGCTACCTTGCCAATTCTCCTCATCACCTTATAAGGACCCACGTATCTTGGGCTCAACTTGCCCTTCTTACCAAAACGAACCACACCCTTCATGGGTGACACCTTCAAATAGACCCAATCACCAACTCGGAATTCAAGAGCCCTTCTCCTCACATCGGCATAGGACTTTTGGCGACTTTGGGCCGTCTTCAACCTTTCTCTAATCATCCTAACCTTCTCAAGAGCCTCCATAACTAGATCTGGTCCTAACAAGGCCACCTCACCAACCTCAAACCACCCAACCGGTGATCTACAACGCCTCCCATAGAGAGCCTCAAAAGGAGCCATACCGATGCTAGAATGATAGCTATTGTTATAGGCAAACTCAATCAATGGAAGATGATCATCCCAACTACCCTTAAGCTCCAATACACAAGCCCTAAGCA